TTTGAAGATGCTGGTGCCAACTCCTGCCTTTCAATGTTTATTCTGCATTGTGAGCCTGCTAACTCTCTTGTAATCCCTTTTTCTCCTACCTTCAAGGGGTAGGGAAAGAAAAACCACATGTAATGTTAATCATGTAAATGAAAAATGCTGTAAAGTCATAAACATATTGATTTTAGTAAGTGACGTTCACCAAAGTGGTGCCAATCCTGTTCAGGATTGTCTGTGTTCTTAATTTTTTTTAGTAACGGAGTTTTGCTTCTGTCCTTGCCAACCTGGTTCTGCACAACACTTCACTACTGGCTCTTGTGAAAGACCCAGCATTTACATAATATGAGAAGCTTTATTAGTTCATTTTGGGGGATAGATTGATTTATTTTTTGTTTAAGGAATTGTGGGATCGTAGAAAATCAAATTGTTTCAGTCATCGGGTTGTGTGCTGTGTGAATAGCGCAACTGTTCTTCGTATGAGGCATGGTTAGAATGCAGTGTGTACTGCAGGCTACTTCTGCTGCCTGCAATTTGGCAGTTCAAATCTCACCGGGCTCAAGGTTGACTCAGCCTTCCGTCCTTCCAAGGTGGGTAAAATGAGGACGCAGCTTGTTGGGGGCAAGAGGCTGACTCTGTAAACCGCTTAGAAAGGGCTGGAAAGCACTGTGAAGTGGTATATAAGTCTGAGTGTTATTGCTATTTTCCTCCCTTCCTTATGATTAGAATGCAGTACTGCAGGCTAACTCTGCACACTGTCAACAGTTTGATCCTGACCAGCTCAAGGTTGACTCGGCTTTCTGTCCTCCCGAGTTTGGTTAAATGAGGACCCCGATTGTTGGGGGCAAGAGACTGATTCTGTAAGTTGCTTAGAGAGGGCTGTAAAGCTCTGCGAAGTGGTATATAAGTCTGAGTGTTACTACTACTCTTCCTTTCTCTCCACTTTAGCCCAGGATGTCCTGGTTTATCTTGTGGATGACACTGTGGTGCGTCTAACGATGGACAACCTACCCTCCGTCACTGCTCACGAGTTGCACCGTATGGTGTTGGATGTGCTGAAGCTGCCCGAATGTGCCCTGGAGATCTTCTCCTTGTGGCTCATCTCCCCCTTCCTTGGTAAGACTCCACGCTCTTTCCCCACCCTGCCCAAAGAGGCCTGGGTCACGTTTCGGCAGCCTCGCTGGCTGAGAGGGCAGAGATGAGAAGGGCAAGCGGTTGCCAGGCAGCCAGACTAAAGCCGAACGGTTTTGCCCTCTCTGTAGACTTCCTTGGCTCTGTGCTCACATAACCCTCTTCACTATGCCAGGTGCAAACCTGGAGGCTGTAAATGCAGCGTGCTAAACTTGGATTGTGGTAACCTTGGTCCTTTATTTTGCTGGCTCAGCATGTTTGCCATAAATTATTCCCTTGGATTTCAATCAGTCAATCAATCAGAATAGAGCTGGAAGGGACCTTGGAGGTCTTCTAGTCCAACTCTCTGCTCAAGCAGAAGACCCTATGCAGGG